CCAAGGCCGGGTCAGCTAGATAGAGAAGACTCTGGCCACACACTGGGGCCCTCCAGGCACACAGGACAAAGCTACACAGGGTTCACTGGACGGCACAGGCTATCTCGCAGTGGAGAGACAGATGGAGAAAGCCTAGCAGAAAATGGACCTGTCCTTCGGGAGCTCCGCCAGTCAGATGGAAGGCACGGACGTAGAGGCCCTGACCACAGAGAAAGATAGCAGGCTGCCTCAGAGGCAGGCCCTAGGTCTGGGAGAGGTGGGAAACAAGGCTGGGGGGTATCCTGTCAGGGAGCAGCTGGTGGGGTTGGGGTAGGCTCAGAAGATAAAGGCAGCATGGAGGGGAGCACGTGGGGAGGGGAGTACGTGGGGAGGGGAGGCTGTGGGGTGGGGAGCCTATGGGGCGTGGAGCACATGGAGTGGGGAGCACGTGTGGTAGGGAGCACATGGGGAGGGGAGCACTTGGGGAGGGGAGCACATGGGGTGGGGACCACATTGGGGTGGGGAGCACACTGGGAGGGGTGCATGTGAGGAGCAGAGATGCTGGGGGTGTGAGCTGTGGTGACCATCAGGCATGGACTGTCCAGGCTGCCATCGGGTGAGCTCCAGGCTCGCCCTCTCCTCTCAGGATGGTCCACTCCAGAAGCCCTGCACAGGCCCAAGGAGGCCAGGGCCAGACCCTGGGAGGTCTAGAGCCCAGGGTACACACACAGCCAGCTGGCTCAGGGGCTAGCAAACATGGAACTGTCAGAAGCTCTCTGGCTGGAGTACAGGCAAACACCAGTGTTGGCAAAAAATTGGGCTTGGTCTGTACCAGCCATCGTTTTATTACTGTTGTTATTATTTTTAGAGGCAGGGTCTTGCTGCATTGCCCAGGCTGGACATGAACTCCTGAGATCGAACAATACTCTCGCCTGAGCCTCCGGAGTCCCTGGGGTTACAGGCCCGAGAGACCACACCTAGCTACCATCACACCCTAATGTGCCTGAGAGGAACCCAGGGAGCAGACCAGCTGTTCTCACCAGGACCCCAGGAGGCCAGGTGCAAGGGGCTCACCTGCTTCAGAATCTGACTCGAGACTTGATTCTGAGACCTCCACATGGGTGCCCGCGGAGCTGGGATCTAAAATCCTTTCCAGCTCCTTGATCTCCTGTGTTATCTTCTCTCTTTCAGCATCTACATCCATGACTTCTGCCTGCCTCCAAAACACACCCCAAGATGTTAGAAACCAAGACTGTGCTGGGATCCCATTCTCCTTCACACACCTGCCCACAGGGGATGGCAGAGTCTGCTCGGCAGCGGGCACTGGGCTCCCCAGAGAAAGATTAACAGACCAGGCCCAGAATCAGGGAGCCCTGGAGTGGCAACCTCAGACCCCACGAACTCCTGCTATGTGCTCTGCCAGGAGCCTAAGCCCCAAGAACGTCTCCCGCCTGCTCTGAGGCTGCAACCAGCACAGGCAGGGAGTGGACGAACAGGGCAGGCCCCACTGTCCTGTCTCGGCTCCCACACCAAGCCACGCGGAAACTGGGCACCCAATATAGAAACTGTGGGGTGCAGAGGCAAAGTCACTACAGGGCAAGGGCACAGCCCGTGACCCGCTTTGGCCATCCTGCTCTCCCATGGCACAGAGCCAGACCACAGAAGGCATCTGAGAAAAATTCAGAGACACACACTGCCCAGGTGACAGGCACTTCCCCCATGGAAGGAAGCTCTCAAAGGCAACCCAAAGGCAAAGCTGGCTGTTCTCTGTGCATCCATAACAGCCCCTGGAATGTGGCAGTGCCTGAGACCGAACAAATGTCTGTCAAGCTTTTTCCTTAGGAACTGTGGTCTAGGAAGTCTGAAGGAAGGACGCTAGAGAGAGAGAGTAGGAGAATGAAGCATCAGCAGAGAAAGCCTAAAGGAATCACTAGCATAGACCCGGGAGCCCAAAACACCCAACAACAAAGGGAAACGCCCTCCCCTGTCCTTGGCGTGGCTCTCCTTGCTGGACACTGACTGGGGCGCTGCCCAACTGGAACAAAACCAAAGCATCCACCCGCCAGCACCGTTAGCCACATCAGCAGCCCAGGTCCCCTCACTCCTTCCCAAAGCCCCTTGTTTATGCCCGAAATGCTTGTGAACCTGTAAACTCAGCTAACAGCCGGCCAGAAGCAGAGCTGGCAGCGACCGCAGGCCGGTTCAGAGCCTCCGGGCCGGCGGAGACGCTTTCCCCTGGAAGCCTCACGCAAGAGGCGGCTGCTGCCTCCCCTCCCCGAGTTGCTCAGGAGAGCAATGATCGGCAGGAAGGAGGTCAAAGTCACACGTGCTGAGCCACCGACCTCAGGGGCTGAACCTCTCCCCGCACTCCTCTCCCAAGGGCTGGTCATGAGGGCTGCCCACCAAAACGGAACGCAGCAGGCGGTCCCTCCCGCCCCAGCTGCGGGGACGCCACTCAGACTCGGCTTGGCCCAGGGAACCCCAGGAAGCGCCAGGGCGATGGGCGTTTAGGCACCGGCTTGGGAGACAGACCCGGCCCAGGCCCAGTTCCGCCTCCTGCTAGCTGCGGGACCTGGGGAAACCCCCTCCGAGGCTCGGCCACCGCAGAATCGACGGCGCAGTCCCCGAGACGCACGCGGGCGCCCTGCAGCCGGGACCGCCCCGCCGACACCTCCTCGGAGCCCGCGGGGGCCGCAGCCCGCTCCCAGCCGAGGGGCTCCCAGGCCCGGAATCCTCGCGCGCCCAGGCTCAGCCGGACGGGGCCACGCCGGGCCTCAGTTTCCCCGACTCTGGACGCTGCCCCGCCCCCGTCCCGGGCCTCGGATGTCTGCTCCTCGGGACAGCGCCCCCTCCGCGGGGAGAGCCCAGGAGATGCCAGCGCCACCTGCGCCTTACCTGTTATGCACAGACCTTACCTGCTCGCGCGGACCCAGCCGTCGCCCGGGCGACCGCAGACTCGACGCTTCCGGCGGCTGCAGAACAAGAGCGCCGCGCGCCGGAAGTCCCGCCTCCTGAGGCGCGGAGCACGCCGGGACGGCCGCTGCCCCTGCCTGGACTAGTGGGGCGAACGGCTCGATGCTGCCCTCGCGTGGCCGCCCTGGGGGCCGCCTCCGCGTGCTCTGGAGGGACGCGGGTGGACGCGGGACCCCAAGGCAGGGGACAGGCGGGGACAGGCGAGGACAGGCACCCGGCCACCTGGTCACGACCCGGAAGACCGGCCCTCACTGGCTGTGACCTTCGGTGGCCACCGCTGGACCTCTCTGTGCCTGTTTCATCCTCTGTTAACGGACATCCTGGGGTTTGGTTAAGCAGCGGATGAGAAAGTCTACGTGAAGGGCTTTTCCCGAGCCTGCCCTGCGTGCTCAGGACCGCCCAGGCCAGGCCGAGCTCCAGGCACGTGCAGGAGACTGAGGCCAGAGGGTGGGGGCCCACACCACGCAGAACTTGCTTCCCTGGTCACCTGTGCCCACCCTCTGGGCCCTCTAGGCTGTCCTGGCCTTGAGAACTGCCCCGGGGACCTCCCCTAAGTGGGTATTCATTCCTTCAGGAACGTGCCAGGGCTAACTCAGCCGGGAGCTGGGCAGGGGCCTACAGTTCCTGAGAGCTTGTAAGCACCAGAGGTGCTGCAGACATCCTGGGTCCAGCCAGTTGAGGGGGCCTCCACTCCAGCCTGTGGAGGGCTGGGGGCACCAGCTGGAGAACTATAAAGGGGGTTTGCCCCGTCTGCCCAGGAGGTGGGCTTTTGCTGGCAAAGGGCTAGGCGCCGGTGAGGCCAGGCTGGGAGCTAGGGATTGGCAAGAAACAGATGGAGGGGATGGAACCGGGCGGCTGTGGGCTCCTCGAGCGCCTTGTTCCAGTCCTTGTGTCGTGGTGACCTGCCTGAGCGGGGCTCGAAATCCGGAGGCAGAGGCAGGCAAGTTGTATTTTTTTTTTTTTTTTTTGAGACGGAAGTCTCACCCTTTCGCCCAGGCTGGAGTACAGTGGTGCGATCTCAGCTCACTGCAAGCTCCGCCTCCAGGGTTCACGCCATTCTCCTGCCTCAGCCTCCTGAGTAGCTGGGCATACAGGTGCCTGCCACCACGTCCGGCTAATTTTTTATATTTTTAATAGAGACGGGGTTTCTCCGTGTTAGCCAGGATGGTCTCCATCTTCTGACCTTGTGATCCGCCCGCCTCGGCTCCCAAAGTGCTGGGATTACAGGCGTGAGCCACCGCGCCCAGCCTATAAGTTGCATTTTTAAACTTCTATTAAACACTTTAAACACAGACAACAAAAGAGAGGGGTGTGCAAAACCCACATGCCCATCCCCACCGCGCTTCCCTGGGCCCCATCTGCTCCATGAGCCGCTGGCATGAGGGCCGGGGACCACCCTGCTTCACATGCATCTGGTGGATGGGACCTGCCTGGCCATCTGGCCTTTGTGACTCCCAACCCATAAAACGCTCTCCCCCGAAGTGCCTCAGGGAAGGTCTGTGGCCTGAGGCATCCTTGCGGGATGTCCCCATCCTGCTGCTACAGGGCTCCCTGAGCTGCCTGCACACTCAGAACCTCATTCCGGCACTTTCCAACCACAGCACGCTGTCTCAAGTCAGCTCTGCTAGCAGAATCCAGAGCCTGCTTTCACCAACCGGCAGAAGTGGGAGGTGCACGGGGCCAGGCAGCAGGGCCCTCCACAGTGGCTGCTGGAAAGCTCTGGCTTTCGCCTGTAGCTAAGACGAGGGGTCTAGCGGTTCAGACACCTTGTTTGAAAAATTCAGCCACGTGATCTGCAAGGATGATCCAACGCTAGAATCCGGTCTGTCCAGCTCTGAGATGTGCAGCTGCATGACTCACACGTCCATCATGCATGGGTCCCTGTGGTCAGGCCCAGGCAGCAGTGGTCTGAGTCTGCCCCTGACCCTGAGGGCTGAGGACCTGACGAGAACCTGCCAGCACAAGGCACCAGTTAGGGCAAGAGCAAGTGAGGTGTGGAAGGCCACGATGTTCTCCAAGGACCAGCTAAGTCAACAGAGAAGAGACAGTGCGGTCAACTGCAGAATTTATTAAATAAAAAAACTATCATTTGGAACAGGAGGAAAAAAGAAAGTTTAAAAAAAATTCTATAGGAAAAAAGTCAAAAAGGCATTTAGTGTTCATCAACCTCCCTCTGCGGGAGGCCGTCAGAAAGGCAGCTAGGACCTCACACACCCGGGCAGGCGGGCTCTGCACATACTTGAAATTCCTGAATTCTAAACTGCATTGTACAAAATGCTACTTGAAACATCCACCAGAACCCCCAGCCAAAGCGGCGCATCTGGACAGCTTCACAGCACGGAATGTGTGGCCACGGTCCCCGTGGGTCCTGGGGGAGGACAGCAGCAGCCATGCAGTGGCCCCTCCGCACTCGAGCCATGACCACAGGGACCAGCCGCTGGGGCCACCAGAGTGACCCGGGAGCCAGAGGGAGCCCTGAGTGTCGGCGGAAGGCACAGGTCCCTGCCCAGGGTGGCCACCTCAGAGGCGCATTTAGTGTTTGTTCTACTTACGAAAGCAAGGGCAATCAACTGTACTTATCTTACAACTGATGTTCTGGGATGGGATTGGAAAACACTGATTCCAGAACCGCTCTTTCTTAAAATCGCTGGCTTTCATGACAGTGTCTTCCAAGAGCTCATCAGAATCTGTAAACACCGCAGGAATTTCGCCACGAAGGGCTGCATAGAAACCACGGGGGCAGCTCGGCCAGGGCTGCTCCCATTGCGGTGGCCAAGAACTGGCTGAGGGCACGACACTGGACTCTTGCGATAAACACTTTACTCTGGGTGAAGACTGCGTATTTAAGGACACAACTGCACATTCAGATCAAGCGGTGGTGATCTCAGGGCATACGCGGAGCTTCATGCTGAAAACACCCAGGGGTCCTCAGGAGTCTTCCTCCTCATCTTTAATTTCAGAAATTCTGTCTATAGATTTAAGGATTTCAGCAACGAGATTCAGTGTCTCAGCTCCGGAAACCAGTTGCCTGAAAGCAAGCACGGATACCAGGATGGGCGGCAGCAGCTACTCGGCAGCAATGGGGCTCTGGGGGGAGAAAGGGGAGGGGCTGGAGGGGAAGAAACGGGGGGTTCCACAGGGGAGGTCGGGGAGAACGGGGAGGGGTTCCAAGGGGTGGGGGAAGGGGAGAGGTTCTGCGTGGGAGGAAGGGGCGGGTCTCCAGGGGGAAGAATGGGGAGGGTTTCCATGGGGGGGGTGGGGGGGAGAAAGGGGAAGGGTTGGTATGGGGAAAAAGGGGGGAGGTTCTGAGGGGGAGAGAGGGGAGAGATTCTGGGGAGGATGGGGAAGGAAGGGGAGGGATTCCAGGGGGAAGAATGGGGAGGGTTTCCATGGTGGGGGAAGGCCTTGTTCCACAGGGGAAGGGTAGAACAGGGAGGGGTTCTGGGGGGAGAAAGGTGAGGAGTTCCAGGGAGAAAGGGACAGAGTTCTGTGGGGGAGAAACGGAAGAGGTCCCAGGGAGAAAGGGGTGGGGTTTGCCGGGGGGCGGGGGGGAGAAAGGGACAGGGTTCTGGGGGAGAAAGGGACAGGGTTCTGGGGGAGAAAGGGACAGGGTTCTGGGGGAGAAAGGGACAGGGTTCTGGGGGAGAAAGGGACACGGTTCTGGGGGAGAAAGGGACACGGTTCTGGGGGAGAAAGGGACAGGGTTCAGGGGGAGAAAGGGACACGGTTCTGGGGGAGAAAGGGACACGGTTCTGGGGGAGAAAGGGACAGGGTTCAGGGGGAGAAAGGGACACGGTTCTGGGGGAGAAAGGGACAGGGATCTGGGGGAGAAAGCGACAGGGATCTGGGGGAGAAAGGGACAGGGTTCTGGGGGAGAAAGGGGCAGGGTTCTGGGGAGAAAGGGACACGGTTCTGGGGGAGAAAGGGACAGGGTTCTGGGGGAGAAAGGGACAGGGTTCTGGGGGAGAAAGGGGCAGGGTTCTGGGGGAGAAAGGGGCAGGGTTCTGGGGGAGAAAGGGGCAGGGTTCAGGGGGAGAAAGGGACACGGTTCTGGGGGAGAAAGGGACACGGTTCTGGGGGAGAAAGGGACAGGGTTCAGGGGGAGAAAGGGACACGGTTCTGGGGGAGAAGGGACAGGTTCTGGGGAGAAAGGGACAGGGTTCAGGGGGAGAAAGGGACACGGTTCTGGGGGAGAAAGGGACAGGGATCTGGGGAGAAAGCGACAGGGTCTGGGGGAGAAAGGGACAGGGTTCTGGGGGAGAAAGGGGCAGGGTTCTGGGGAGAAAGGGACACGGTTCTGGGGGAGAAGGGACAGGGTTCTGGGGGAGAAAGGGACAGGGTTCTGGGGGAGAAAGGGCAGGGTTCTGGGGAGAAGGGGGGTTTGGGGAGAAAGGGACACGGTTCTGGGGGAGAAAGGACAGGGTTCAGGGGGAGAAAGGGACAGGGTTGCAGGGGGAGAAAGCGACAGGGTTGCAGGGGGAGAAAGGGACAGGGTTCAGGGGGAGAAAGGGACAGGGTTGCAGGGGGAAAGGACAGGGGGGGAGAAAGGGACAGGGTTGCAGGGGGAGAAAGGGACAGGGTTCAGGGGGAGAAAGGGACAGGGTTGCAGGGGGAGAAAGGGACAGGGTTCTGGGGGAGAAAGGGACAGGGTTGCAGGGGGAGAAAGGGACAGGGTTCTGGGGGAGAAAGGGCAGGGTTCTGGGGGAGAAAGGGACAGGGTTCTGGGGGAGAAAGGGACAGGGTTCTGGGGGAGAAAGGGACAGGGTTCTGGGGGAGAAAGGGACACGGTTCTGGGGGAGAAAGGGCAGGGTTCTGGGGGAGAAAGGGCAGGGTTCTGGGGGAGAAAGGGGAGGGGTTCTGGGGGAGAAAGGGACAGGGTTCTGGGGGAGAAAGGGACAGGGTTCTGGGGGAGAAAGGGACAGGGTTCTGGGGGAGAAAGGGCAGGGTTCTGGGGGAGAAAGGGGAGGGGTTCCAGGGAGAAAGCGGTGGGGTTTGTGGGGCAGAAAGGGACAGGATTCCTGGGAGAAAGGGAGGCGCTCAAGGGAGAACCACGTTTTCCACTCCTAGCTCCTCTTCGAGGAGACCCATACCTGACTTCACAGGAGACGGCTCCCTTGTCCACAGGGAGTGCTCTGGGGGGCCAAAACCGCCCTGCAGAGCTCAGCCCAGTGGGCGGCAGACACTCACCACTGTCACAGTGATGGTGGCTGGCATGTCCCCAGCCAGGCACAGTAGTAAGGGCCTTCTGGGAATTTGCTTTTTCACCAGGAGGGAAACTACCACTATTTCCTTTATTCAGAGCTTTAGTGTCCACAGGTGGTGGGGCTGTCTGCACCTCCCAGGTGGGCCGATCAGACACTACGAGGTGGGTTAGAAAGCCTGTGGTCTGTCCACAAAGTGACCCAGAGAGCTATTGGGACCACTGAGCACGCGTCCCTCCTTGCGGCTCCCTGGTCCTCCAGCCACAGTGCTGTCAGCCTGGGCCCCCACCCAGTATCACTGACGACCACTCCAATCTCACCCCTTTCCCTGCCAGGCTTCCCAGTGCCTCCCAGGCACTCACTTAATAGAAGCCTGTGCGCCGTTCATGACCACCCGGAGGTTCTGCAAGGCCACGTCGGCGTTCTGCTTCACCACAGTCAGGCTGGCGCCCTGGCCGCACCGCAGGGCTTCATTCTCTCGCTGGAAGTTGGAGACCTGCGCCTGGGGGGACGGTTATGGCTAAGGAGAGAGCAGCTTCGAGGCAATCCGGATAAAAGTCACCCCCCAGCGAGGCGAGGACTTACCCGTGGGGGCCTGGCACTCAGGACGGGTGCTCTGGCCTAACTGGGGGCTCGCCTCTGGGACTGGGGGCTTAACAGCTTCCCCTTCACTCCAGTATATGCCTAGCACCTAGCTCTATGGAAACAGGGACTCCCAAGTGGACGCCCCATGCCAGACCCCAAAGTCCCAACAGAACTCCAGGGCCTCCCTCTGCTTCAGGCCCCGACAGGAAGCAGGTGCTGTCCCCATTTGAAGTCCTTTCTCTGCTTGGGCCCAGGGGAAACCCCAGCAGAGTCTTTTATCTCCGTCTGCTTGAATTCATTATCTATGTGACTCCACAGATCAAAGGAAAACACTGAAGTCCTTTCTTTAATTACCTGGAGCAAACTGATTCTATGTGATTCCACAAATCAAAAAAAACACTGAAGTCCTTTCCTTTAATTACCTGGAGCAAACTGATTTCCTGTTTCAGTTTCACGACGTGGTTTTCTGCCTTTACAGCCCGTTTCTGTTACCAAAAAAAAAAAAAACCCCACAAAAAGCATCACTGATGTCCTCACATTAATACCGGACACGGGCCTCAACGCAGGGAGCAGGAGGTCACCCAACCTGGCTGTGGCCCTTCACAGCCCCTGTGCCCCACCCAGTCCCGCCTCCAATCTCAGACCACGCATGGGAAGGGCTCACCGTGCAGCGGTTGTGCTCTGGTTTGCCCCCACTCCCCATAGACGGCCTCATGGGCCAGCTATCCCCAGGCACAGGGAGACAGCGATGTCAAGGGACACTGGTCCCAGAGAGCCACATGGCCCTGCTCCCAAGGGCAAGCTGTAGCAGCTGCTGAAGGCAGCCGCACTTTCTCAGGAGCGCTCCTGCCCCACCCAGCTCATCCGACTGAAAGAAAGAAACCCATACGGTCATCAGCTCCAGGTTCTGCTCCACCTGCTGAACCACCGACTCCAAGTCGTGGTAGTCGCTCTCCTCCTTGATCATTTTTGCTTCTAATTTCCGCTCAAGTGTCCTCACCCTTGTTAAAGAAAAATCCGAGTTGTTAATTTCTGTGGCTACTTTTAAGAGGACTACAGAAAGATACCTCATGAGCCAGATAAAACCCGCTAAGAGCCTGTGACGGAATGGGCCTCAAGCACAGTGGGGCGGCGGCAGCAGCCTCAGGTCTAGACCTGCAGCCGGCTACCAGGCAGGCGTGCAGGGAGGGGCTCTCACAGCACTGCTGCTCCAACAAGGAATCTGGTGGCTTTTTGTCTAAAGTTTAAAATAAACCTTCGCCAGACGCCGTGGCTCACGCCTATAATCCCAACACTTTAGGAGCTTGAAGCGAGAGGATTCCTTGAGCCGAGGAGTTTGAGACAAGCCCGGGCAACACAGTGAGACCCTGTCTCTACAAAAATAAAATTTAAAAATTAGCCAGGTGCAGTGGCAAACACCTGTAGTCTCAGTTACTCAAGAGGCTGAGACGGGAGGATCACCGGAGCCAAGCAGGTCAAGGCGGCAGTGAGCCATGATTGTGCCACTGCACTCGAGCCTGGGTGACACAGCAAGACCCTGTCTCAAAATAAACTTTTATGCACAACACAGAAATGTGTTGGATGCTAAACATTTATATACAATAAAACCCAGATCTGGTTCGACTCTGATTACTTCATTATCATTTAAAAACGGATTTCCCTCTGTGTTAGATGTTGTGGATTGCATTCCTAACTGAAAGCTTACATACATTTCTGTTTGAGCTTCAGAGAAGCTCTGAACCTCATTCAGCTTTCTTCTCAGCTTAGAATTTTCATCTTTCAGCTGTGGAGAGAGAACATCCTCATTAGAAAGTCAGCATGTCTCGCTCAAAAGGGTGTGCGCTTCTGCGGTCTGGCTCTAGAGCCTCCTGATAAGCAGAGATGGCTGGGTCAGTGCAGCGTCCACCTGCAGCGCACTACAGAGGAAGACCACGGAGGCCGGCACTTTTCAAAGACCTGTGGTCACAGATGCCAGTTAATTTTACTCAGAGGCCGGGGCAGTGGCTCACGCCTGTAATCCCAGCACTTTGGGAGGCCGACGCGGGTGGATCACCTGAGGTCAGCAGTTTGAGACCAGCCTGGCCAACATGGTGCCCTCGTCTCTACTAAAAATACAAAAATTAGCCAGGAGTGGTGGCAGGCACCTGCAGTCCCAACTACTTGGGTGGCTGAAGCAGGAGAATCACTTGAACTCGGGAGGCAGAGGTTGCAGTGAGCCGAGATCATGCCACTGCACTCCAGCGTGAGCAACACAGTGAGACACTGTCTCAGGAAAAAACAAAAATTTTTTCTTTTTTTTTGAAACGGAGTTTCGCTTTTGTCACCTAGGCTGGAGTCACCACGCTCAGCCTAATTTTTGTATTTTTAGTAGAGACAGGGGTTTCACCATGTTGGCCAGGCTGGTCTCGAACTCCTGACCTCGTGATCCACCTGCTTCAGTCTCCCAAAGTGCTAAGATTACAGGCGTGAGCCACTGCGCCCGGCTAAAAAAAATTTTTTTTTACTCACATCTTACAACCTTTTAGGTGATTATAATTTTGTAAAAAATTTTCCTCCTCTTAGACTACTTAGCAAGATGTCCCTGAGCTGACGACTGCAGCCAGCCTTTCCTGAGGGTACAGCCCTTTAAGTGCCCAACTGCATCCAATTCACAGCTTCTAGCTCACCAGTCCTCTTTAGCCGGTTCTATTCACACGTGTAACCAGAGGCAAAGTCAAAGGGAAAGTGGATAGCAGGCTGTTACGCAAGTCGTCTCGTCCTGGAAATCAAACCAGGCCACCCAGGAGGCAGGGTAGCTCTAGGTTCTCCCTGGGAGAGGCTGCTCGGACAGGTGCTGTGCCAGAGGGCGTCGCAAGGCTCACTTACTGCTTCGTAACTTATCTGCAGCGTCCGCAGGTGCCTGTCTCCCAGAGACTCTCCATGAGCCGCAAAGTCTGCGCTAGGACTCCCTGCCGGAGAGGCCGGAGACACGCGAGAATCAGTGTCACTCAATGCCCATGGGGGCAGAGACTCAGGCCCTGCCAGCTCCGACGGGGTGGAGAAAAAGGAAAGGTATGTGCTGCAGGGCGATGTGCCGGCACGGACCCGCTCGGGGTGAGTCTGCTCGATGGCGGACGGCAGGTAGGCCCCACTCCATCCAGTGTCCTCATCCTCCTCCTCATCCAGGAGGTCACCGGCCCCTGTCGGGTCCTCAAAAAATGGCTGCTGATACTCCAGGCCATACCCCCCGGTTTGGGAGGGTGGGGAGTTGTGGTCAAGTCCCAGTGAATGCCTCGAGGCTTCCTGAAAAAAAAAAAAAGACAAAAAACAGTGGAGGCCATGCTTCTGACTCGGAGTGCATCTTCCTTTCTCTCTGTTCTGCCTCGGAACACGAAGAAAGGCCCAATCTCATCTACTGGAAGGAGCCCAGCAGCTTCTGGGCCCAGAGCTGCTCCCCAGCACTGATGCCTGTCCTGCCCTGCCACACTCGTGCACAATCTCCTCCAAAGGAAGCCGCAGAGGCCAGAACAGAAACGTCCCGCGGAGCCATCACCCACAATGCCGTGGATTTACCTTTGCATAAATCCTGCTGGCCGGGTCCTCTTTTGACAGGCCGAGGTTCTTGGTCTTCAGAAACTCTTTAAAGGAGAATGGATTTGCCTCTTCGAGATCTTCAAATTTGTCATCTGAAATAACAGACGTCACAGATGCATAAAGTCTACTGAAGAGCGCTGAAAGGGAACCTTCCTGTTCACCTGTCTTTCCGGAGCATGGCCACATGTGAGATCGGGTAGCCACGCTCGTCATTCTACCATGACTCAGGTGGCACTAAGAAGCGTGAAGGAGGCCGGGCACGGTGGCTCACGCCTGTAATCCCAGCACTTTGGGAGGCCGAGGCAGGTGAATCATGAGGTCAGGAGATCGAGACCATCCTGGCTAACACGGTGAAACCCCGTCTCTACTAAAAATGCAAAAAATTAGCCGGGTGTGGCGGCGGGCGCCTGTAGTCCCAGCTACTCCGGAGGCTGAGGCAGGAGAATGGTGTGAACCCGGGAGGCGGAGCTTGCAGTGAGCCGAGATCGCACCACTGCACTCCAGCCTGGGCGACAGAGCGAGACTCCCTCTCAAAAAAAAGCGTGAAGGTGGCTGAAAGTGGGCAGTGACACGGACGTGCGTCTGCATTTGAAATCTTCTCCTTCCACCCCTCGGCCCCTGCTCCCACACTGTGCTGCCCACTAAAACTCCCCTGGGGAGCTTTAAAACGACCCAGGCCACTCCACTGCACACACCCAGTTCCCTGGTGTGAAGTCAACCTGTGCTGGGAGCTCTCAAAGCTCCTCAGGTGATCGGGCACGGTGGCTCACTCCTGTACTCCCAGCACTGTGGGAGGCCGAGGCGGGCGGATCACGAAGTCAGGAGATTGAGACCATCCCGGCTAACACGGTGATAACCCATCTCTACTAAAAATACAAAAAATTAGCCGGGCCTGGTGGCGGGCCCCTGTAGTCCCAGCTACTCAGGAGGCTGAGGCAGGAGAATGGCAAGAACCCGGGAGGCGGAGCTTGCCGTGAGCTGAGATCGCAGCCTGGGCGACAGAGTGAGACTCCGTCTCAAAAAAACAAACAGCAGCAGCAACGACAAGTTCCTCAGGTGCTGCAAAACTGGGGATCCGGCGCTCTTTGACCCTCTACCCGACTTTCCTACTTAGGTAACCTAGCTAACGCCCACCTTTCTCTTCTCCCTCTCACCGCTTTCCCACCCTCCGGGGACCTAAGCAGCCACGCTTGGCCCTCCCAGCTGCGAGCCCCATGTAATGCCGGCTCCTGTGGCCCCAGCCCCTGAGGTGGGACTTCCCCACTCCCTGACGTTCCCTCACCCAGGTTCTTCTGCCCTTGCACCTCGCTCCTACTCTAGGGTCAAGACTGAACCCTTGAAATCCCACCCCCACCTGCTCTTTTGGGCTCCAGATACACCATGTAGCCCGTCATATCGACAGTCCTGCCACCAGACACGTGCCTGGCACTGTGTTGGATGGAGACAAGAAGAAAAGGTGACTGAACTACTCTACCTCCAAAATGTGTCTCGTGGGCTCCTGACGGGCTCTGCTTAGAATATTTCCCCTTTCCATAGCCAAAATCTGCAAAGAAACAATGTCACCCACCATGACGGCAGGAAGTCTTTATGACCTCACATTTGTGTTTTGGTTTTGTTGCACATGGAGTCTCCACTGCAGTGGTTCTCACAGCCTAGAGAACCTCTAGAGAACCTTTTTTTTTTTTTTTTTTGAGACGGAGTCTCACTCTGTTGCCCAGGCTGGAGTGCAGTGGCGCAATCTCAGCTCACTGCAAGCTCCGCCTCCCAGGTTCACGACATTCTCCTGCCTCAGCCTCCCCAGTAGCTGGACATACAGGTGCCCACCACCACGCCCGGCTAATTTTTTGTATCTTTTAGTAGAGACAGGGTTTCACCATGTTAGCCAGGATGGTCTCAATCTCCTGACCTCGTGATCCACCTGCCTCGGCCTCCCAAAGTGCTGGGATTCCAGGCGTGAGCCACCGCGCCCGGTGGGCCAAGAGAACTTTAAAAAACACGAGCTCCCGGACTTGTGACCCTGGAGATAGCCTGACTCACACAGACTGGCCCTGGTATCTGTGGTCTGAAAGGGGTTCCTCAGTAGGTTTTGAAGCCCAGTCGGAGCGAGCGTGTCCTCTTGTCTTGTGACACCCCCCGAATGTCCTCAGACCCTGGCAGCGCCACACAAACACTCCCGCACACCCCGGGCACCCAGCAGCACTTCTGCTCGGGTAGAACGAGGATGAACCAGATCTGGCCGCTGCCCGGCTGTGGAGGCAGATGGAATGCTCCAGCTCCGTTTCCAATCACCGCCCACTGGGGTGAAGTCCCCCCACTTCAGCCCCACGAGGAAAGCGGGCCGGCTCCTGTGCTCCCTGGGCACTACCCATCCTGAACTGGAACTGTCTGTCTGGGGGGAGGTCTCCCCACAACCAGACTGTGAGCTCCTAGCAGGGGACTCCGCCTTTGAATTCCGAGTGCCTGGCACGCAGTGAGCGCGGTGCTCATTGTTGGGTCAATGGACGAGCTCTTGCGGCAGCGGAGGTGCCACAGGTGGCGCGGGAACTGGAGGCGTCCCCGGGGCCGGCGCCCTCGTCTCTCACCTGTGTCTCCCACGGAAGCCAGCACCGGGCTGGGCACATAGCACATAAAGGCCGGCCGAATGCCGAAGAAGGGGGAGTCCAGGTCCCTGCCATGGGGGCGCTCACAGTCTAGCTGGGGGAGACAAGACCGGCGCTCATAGAACGCTGGAGCTGGAAGCAACGACAACAGCGACTTTACTGCGCGCCGGGGCGGCCGCCGCCCACCTGAACCGCTGGACTCGGCCCCTGCCCCGCTCACCGTCGGGAATGGCGAGGCTCCGGACTCGGGACAGCGGGGTGGCGCCCGGGCGGCGCGGGTAGCCCGACATCGCCGCGGGCCAGGCGGGGCAGGACCTGCCTAGCCCGGCAGCGGCGGCTCCATGGCCCCGGCTCCGCCCGGGCCGCGGTCCGTGTCGCCCGCCCCCGTCGCCTGCCGCTTGGCCGTCCCCGCTCCTCCGAGCCTCTCGCCGCTGCTTCCGCTCCGAGCACCGGAAGCGCGCGCCGGAACGCCTCGAGTTGTCGCCCAAGGGGGCGGGGAATCCGCGGGCGGAAGCGGAAGTGACGACAGAAGCAGGGGCGGAGACGCAAGATGGCGGCTGTGGTGCTCGTGGCGACGCGGTTGCTGCGGGGGTCGGGTTGTTGGAGCGGCTCGCGGCTGAGGTGAGCCAAAGGCGAACCAGGCTTCAGCCTGGGACCGGGGCGGCTTGAGTCTTTCTGGACGCTCCGTCTTTGGTTTCTACAGGCGACATGGCGCCCGTTCGACGGGCTCGCACTTCGGGACACTGGTGTGGTCCCCGAGGCGACGGGGGCCCTGCCTTGCCTTGCGCCTCAAGCCCGGGGATGCAGTCCTATCTGTCTCTCTCCCCGGCTGCTGGGTCCTCTCCCCCCCTTCACCTCCCGGGTCGACGGGCCTTGTCCGAGGCCATGCTTCATCGCTGCCCCTGTGCTTTTGCCGCGTGCTCCCTCAGGAGGCTGAGCCGGTGGGGCCCCAGCTCTGTTAGACCCGCAGGGTTCTGACACGAGGGTCCAGGCTCTCGGTTGATGCGCTCGAGCGTCCGTTGATCTCTGACGTTTAAGAACCCTTTCCGTCCCCACCGCCCCTCCCGCCCAAGTGACCGGGCCTGCCTTTCCCCACGCTGGAACTTTGTTCCGACAGCACAGGCATCGCCCCTCCCCACACAACGAGCGCTGTTTCAGGGGTGCGGAGGTGCTGCCTCCAGGAGATGGATACAGACTGGAGCGTGAACAAAATATCGGCAATCGTGTAAATGCTTTGGAGTAAACAAGCAGCCTTTCGTGATAGGAAATAACAGGAAAGACTAGAGTGATGAGGGATAGTCCTCCATCAGGGTGACATTTAAGGGAAGAGCTGAAGAATGAAAGAAGGGGTAGGCATGGGCAAAGGGCAAAGAAGCTTTGGGGGTGAAGAAGCTTTGGAATGAATCAAATGTGTTCCAGGAATTGACAGAATAATCAGTGTGACCAGGACCTATGGGGCTGTGGGGGTTCAAGAGATGAGTTTGGAGAGGGAGATAGAGACCAAGTCACACCCCACCTTCGGACCAGGTTAATAAGGGGTATGGCTTCTAAGACTTCAGTGATACTGTTGGAGGGCAGAGCCGTTAAGTGCTTTATGTGTACAAACTGCATTTCGAGTGGGTTACTGTTAATAAGCCCTGTTTTACAGAAATAGCACGAAGACCCAAAGGATGGAACCAGCTTGCTCCAGGTCCTGTGGCTGAGCCTTTGTGGTCAGCCTTTGCTTTGTCTTCCAAAGTCTATAGAAATAAGTACTTTAGAAAGGCAGATACTTACTTTTAACCCAGACAAAACATAACTAACTGCACCTAAGAGGTCATCACAGGTTCGTTGTCTCAAGCCTGTTGCAACTGGGCCGCTTTCTCTGTTTTAGGTTTGGACCTTCTGCGTACAGACGGTTTAGTAGTGGTGGTGCCTATCCCAGCATCCCCCTCTCTTCTCCTTTACCTGGAGTACCCAAGCCTGTTTTTGCTTCAGTTGATGGACAGGAAAAGTTTGAAACCAAAGTAACCACATTGGATAATGGGCTTCACGTAGCATCTCAGAATAAGTTTGGACAGTTTTGTACAGTAGGAAGTAAGTACTGTTGTGGTGCTGTGGGTGGTCCCGCATTTTTAACATGCACGTGCTTTAGTTGACTGTTAGTTGTAGTTAGCATGCCAATTACGAATTGTACCCTGAGTGGAAGCAAAGTGTACAATTTCATGAATGTTGACCTACATATATACCTGTGAAACCATCAGCACAATCACTCTCATATAGTTAAATCTGATTATCATGTCATATTGAAATTTTAAAATGTTTCTCTTGATTAAATTTTATTTTGAATATCTGATTTAACCTGTCAATTTTCTTTTTCCTACTAGTTCTTATTAATTCAGGATCAAGATATGAAGCAAAATATCTTAGTGGAATTGCTCACTTTTTGGAAAAATTGGCATTTTCGGTCAGTGCCCAGTTTTGTAGTTTTTTAGACTATACTTTTGAAGGATGTTTGAGATTTTTCTTCTCTATAATGGTTATTTTCATAAATTATTAAGTTGCTAAGTTAATGCTAATAAAAGACTTTTAGGTTAATAGATAATTTTTGTACGTAGTGTTAAAAGCAAAAGTAAATTTTAAAAAGATTTGCATTTTAGGGGTAGTCTGGATTGCTCATTTAGGTTTTCCTATTTATTTTTACTAGTCTACTGCTCGATTTGACAGCAAAGATGAAATTCTGCTTACACTGGAAAAGCACGGGGGTATTTGTGACTGCCAGACATCAAGGTACACCAGCTTTTACGTACAAAGTGACTTTGTGTCCGTGGGAACTGATGTCCTCGTCGTTGCTCAGATTCTGTCTGAGCCCCTCCCACTGGGAGGTGTGGAGATTCACAGGGAGAAGAGCCCTGTCCTGGATGGAGAGTTGGGTGGACAGCGCTTACACAGAGAAGCACAGCCCTCAGGACCTCAGTTCACCCCCGTCAGTTCATCCAGGCTGTTGGCTGCATGCCAGGGATGTAGAGCAGGCCCTGTTCCCACATAGAGCAGAGGGCCTTGCATACGTGCTGGACCCAGTAGCCAAAGGCGGTAGGAGCCAGGAGGATGAGCAGCTGACTTGGTCTGGAGTTGGGAAAGGAATAATAGGAGACGCAGGATTGGGCTGGTTCCTGAAGGAACCTGAAGGACTTTGCTAGACACACAGGGCAGAAGGCATTCCAGACCAGGAGACAGCAGGGGCAAAAGGCACTGAGCCAGGGAGGTGCCGGCTGCTTGGTGAAGGGAGGGGACAGTGTTGCCTGGAGCACAGTGCAGTGGTCTTTGCATGCCAGGTGTGGAGCTTGTTCAGAAAGTGCTGGACAGTGTGAGATGGGTGGATACAGATCACAGATTTTTAAAATGGTTGATGTTTTAAGTTTGAAAGCTAAAAAACTTATACATAAAAGACACGTCAAATGCTAAGAAATAAAGTAAGCTTGGAGGTAACATACTCACATTCTAAAACAAGGCCTCTTAATACCCGCTGACTCCCAGATGCCCCTGCCAGGCTCCTGCCTGGTGTGTTTGGTCCTCCGACTCTTTTTTTTTTTTTTTTTTGAGACGGAGTCTCGCTCTGTCGCCCAGACTGGAGTGCAGTGGCGCGATCTCGGCTCACTGCAAGCTCCGCCTCCCGGGTTCACGCCATTCTCCTGCCTCAGCCTCCAGAGTAGCTGGGACTACAGGCGCCCGCCACCTCGCCCGGCTAATTTCTTTTTGTATTTTTAGTAGAGACGGGGTTTCACCGTGTTAGCCAGGCTGGTCTCGATCTCCTGACCTCGTGATCCGCCCGCCTCGGCCTCCCAAAGTGCTGAGATTACAGGGTCCTCCGACTCTTGACTCAAATCTGACTCATCCCAGATGAACTCCTTTTCCTGGCCAGGTGGCTGGTGTCCTGACTCAGACCCAGCCCCTCTCGCCCTCAGCTCAGGCTTTTGTTTCTGCCATTCTCCCCACATGAGCCAAAGTCACTGAGAATGGCTCCTCTTCAGGGTGAAGGTCCAGCCAAGTCCCCTCTTCAGAGGCACTGGTGGCCACGTCCTGCCTCCCACGCTCCCTCTTCTTCACAGCTGTTGCGTCTGTTCTGCGCAGTCTCACTTGATCACACTTGATCTCAGATTACCCCGTGATTTCGTGTCTGTCCCATGGGCCAGCTCTGTGCGCTTCTGACTGTTCTGTGCCTTGTGCCGGGAACAGATGTTACAGCAAGACAGAAGCTCCATACAAGCCAGCCGTTGCTGTCCCCCTGGCCAGCCAAGGCCGGCCGTGTTTCCACACTCACCAGTGGGTTCATTCAGTCAACAGGAGGCTGGGATGAAACACTTCACCTTTTGAGAGAGACTATAGTTACAAAAACCTCTCTCAGAAGTGGCTCCATTTTGACTCAAGCTGTGTGTAGCTGAGTCCTGCCTACTAAGCATTCACACTGTAAAACAGGAGAAGAGAAAGGGGAAAAGTGTCTGCTGTTCCCCGACAAAGGGTAGGAGGTGCCCCCGGCACGCAAACCTCAAGCATCCCCTGAAATGTCTGCCAGTCCCCAACAAAGGGTAGGAGGTGCCCCTGGCACGCAAAGCGTGAGCGTCCCCCTGGCTGCTCAGCAGTGTGAGCTCAGGGCCTGGCATTTGTCCCCCTGGCATGCAAAGCGTGAGCATCCCCTGACTGTTGAGCAGAGTGTAAGCTCAGGACCTGGCATTGTGGGCTTCTTTTTTCTTCCAGAGACACCACGATGTATGCTGTGTCTGCTGATAGCAAAGGCTTGGACACGGTGGTCGGCTTACTGGCTGATGTGGTTCTGCAGCCTCGGCTAACAGGTGTGGATCCCACCCGCTGGCGTTTGAGGTGGGCCTGGACATAGGGAAGGCCAGAAAGGTTTGTGGAAGCCCTGCAGCCGTGACGAAGAGCACCTTGTAGTTGTGTAACTGGAGCTTCAGGCCAACACAAAGCGACAGCGAGATCTCGTAAGAAATAGTGCTAGGGGCCAGACGCGGTGGCTCACGCCTGTAATCCCAGCAGTTTGGGAGGCCGAGGTGGGCAGATCACGAGGTCAGGAGATCGAGACCATCCTGGCTAACACGGTGAAACCCCATCTCTACTAAAAATATAAAAAATTAATCAGGCATGGTGGCGGGTGCCTGTATGTCCAGCTACTTGGGAGGCTAAGGCAGGAGAATGGTGTGAATCTGGGAGGTGGAGCTTGCAGTGAGCCGAGATCGTGCCACTGTACTTCAGCCTGGGCGACAGAGTGAGACTCTATCTCAAAAAAAAAAAAAAGAAGAAAGAAATAGTGCTGGG